TATACCTTTCCGAATAAACCCAAATTACTACATTGAACCTTTACCTGAATCTGCTTTGAACGCTTTCGATACTTCAATATGGCCAAATATTCAAGAACAACAGCAATATCCTTCATTTATAACTTTTCTTCAGCAACCTATATCAAGTACGCTTTTTGGGCCTTTAGTTACTTTGTTTGGCATTTTATTGATGCTTATTATCGTATTCCCATTATTTGTAAATTTAGTTAGAAAAAAGAAAGTTAGTAGTTGGGTTAAAGGGGCTGTTGTTAAAAGTTTTAAAGAGGAAAAATTGTAAAAAATGGAGTCCGAGAAGCTCCATTTTACTCTACATGAAATTTACATTGGCATTTAATATTTAGTCCTTTAAATTTATGAAATATTCCGATACAGTTTTTTTAATAGCTAACTGTTACGAATATGTATTACACAATATATCTGATATTATATCAGAGATATTCATCAGTTTTTTTCTAGTGAATCTTGTTATAAGTTATTAGGTAATCTCTTTTATACAGCTCTTAAATTTGTTAGAAGACAAAATATTCGACAAATTATATTTTCAGTTATATATTGTCTACTTTACATTAATAAATCTAGATAAACATTTGAGATATTCAAAAACTCAGGAGATTTGGTATTGGCTTTCATGTTTGATGAAATCGGTATTAGGAATCAAAATTTTTTTTAGCAGTTAGTATTAAATTACAAATCTTTAAAAAGTATAGCAAAATATACTATACTTTTATTTGGCAACAGAATTCACGTGTATTACATATCTATCCTATATGTATCCTGTCTAAAGCTGCAATTTCTCGTATTTCACTGATCACAAATAGCAAAATATAGATCTTTTGATTTTATATTGCCTGGCGAATTGAAATCATTTGCTGAATTTCATAAGTCGATTGCAAAAACAGCATTCATCAATGTTGCAGAAGGTGGAGGTAATGGAGTATATCCGACTGCAGAAACAGCTAGATTGTAAAAATATGTCACTAACAGGAATTGTTAATTTTTAGTATAGGTGGACATATAAAATTATTATAAAATTACTGTATAATATATAAAAAAAAATTAGCTATTTTCAATCTCTTTTTTTTTTGTGGATTGTTGTGTATATTCATTATTTGTAAATTTTAATGCTAAATACAGATTGCATGTACGATTGTAACTTCCAAAGCTGGCATTTGGCCTTTAAGCTAGAAAAAGATTGGGTCATAGCAATAAATTATTCTTGCATAAGGGTTCCCTATATCAACCGCATTAATATTAGTATTAT